AGGCTGAAAAATGTAGTTTTCATTAAAAAAAATTCTGGTTAAAATATTCCTTTGGATTTACACATTTATTCCACAGAACAGAAGCTGATGACAACATTCTTCATTAACTTTATTAAGTTTTGTTTTTTTTATAATTCCAGCATTTGTGACAATTACAACATTTTCAGACTCAGATAAAAAATGTTCCTTCACAAGTTTTCCTCATGTTGTTATCAAAATCAAATCTCAACGAGTCAATTCAAACGAGGAAATCAAACCTGACAATACCAACACACACAAAACCAACGTGGCCCCTCACACGCCAACAGCACCTGGACAAAAGTATATGGACACCCTTCATCGAAAATACACCTGCTCACTGTGGACACCTGATAATGTCCGAAAGTATGTAGACTCACGAAATAGAAATCAAGTAACCTATCTGTCCCTGTAATTTCATTGGTCCACTAAGTAAACTCCACCTACCTCAGAGTGAATCAATTTATTTAAAAAAAAAAAAAAAATCACAACATATCACAACATCTGACGCTGCCATGAATGACACTTCATCTGACGACAAGAGATAAAAGACCAACGTTGTCAGGTCATAGTGAACGAAGAGCAGCAGACGATTAACGACAGATATAATGTTGACGTTGATAAGCAGCAGCTACACATCAAACACTGGCCTCCAGTCACAGCACATTGTACGTCAGGACGTTTCCACCTGTTGGCCACATTAAGGCAAACGGTGTCGAGTTTAAGGCCCAGAACAAGTAAATTGAATCAATTATGTTATTTACTATGTGTTAATGTAAACTCGTGTTTCGTGGTTTTTTAAAAGAAAACTTGGGAAATTATCAATGTAGATGTGAAAAAAGTATCTGAGCCCTGATTGGCCGACTCACAACCAGTCAGATTCTCAAACACAAACTGGAACAATAATTCATTTTTAAATGTTTTCATAAAAAGTGTAAATATTTGGTGTCAACAAGAAAATGATTTTCCATTTTCAGTGAAGTGTAATGTCCGATGTTCTGTTGTTGATGAAAGTTGAATTCTCTTGATTAATGAAAGAAGTGACTCGTGGACAATTTTTAAAATAAAACATTTGAGAACAAAAGATTTTTAAATGATGATTTTTCTATAATTAAAGTGTATATTCAATTAATCAAATTATTTAAATACTTTGCTATGATTGGCTTTTCAAATAAGCTGCCAACGATGCTAACTTAAAGAAGTGTATGTAAACTACGTACTTTTTTTTGGCTAACAGCAGCTACGACTAATCTGTTGACATGGCACAGAAAATAGATTTAAAAAGAATAATAAGTGGATCTGGCCAATCAGAACTTTCTAATGTGATCCAGGCTCTGATTGGCTGACTGGTCTGGTAGAAAACTCAATGATAAACGATTTTTGTTTTCTGTAAAGCAAAGATCTTTCCTTTATGTTTGTTATAGTGCATGCTATCCTACAACAAGGTGTTACCATGGTTATTGACTAAAATTAGTAATGTAGTGTTTCATGTGCTAGCTGAAAATGTGAAACCATCCTGGTGGTTTGTAGTTTCAGTAGCACGTTGGCTAGAGCACTAATAAAGAGTGAAAGTAGTTGTTAGTATTTATCGATTGTGATCAGCAGAAATTAAACCTCCAGACGCAATGCTGATTAGCATGTTAGCTAATGGCAGTGCTCGGTAATGTCGACGACTACCGCCTTCCTCCAGCTGAACAGGAAATAGCCCATCCCAGCACCGGCTGCCACGGCGATGCACAGGTAACCGTTGTAGGTCATGAATACGAGCATCAGGAAGTAGCTGACGACCACCTGGACGATGTGCAACAGGGTCTGCATGAAGTGGCCGGGGCTTAGCATCCGCTGCCTGAGAATGTGAGTGGAGGGGATATGAATTCCTGTTAGCATTGCATCTTACATATTGCTCTTTACATTAAATTACTGTTAGCATTTCTGTTAGCATTAGTAGTACCACTCATCTTTAACTATTTTCATTAAGATGTTTATTGGGATTAGAAACACACAAACGGAAAATTGCATTTAAACGAGTGTAAATGTTAGAAAACATGTTACAATAGAGACAAAATGATAGAGAGAGTGTAAGTAATCAGTGATCAATGTCAGTCTCATCGCAGGTTTTCAGCAGAACCAGAACCAGCACCTGCACCATACCCTGAACCAGAACCTGCACTAGAACCTGCACCAGAACCTGCACTAGAACCTGGACCAGAACCTGCACTAGAACCTGGACCAGGTTCAGAGCCAGGACGCTCAGTTACCTGACGTCAAGTCCTGAGAGGCATAACTTTACTCCAAAAGAAGGGTCCGCCCCCTCCAAACACTGACTGTCAATCACTGAGCTGACATGAACACATTACATGACATTACAGACGACCATGTGACAGACCTGATCTGCAACTAAAGACATTTGTCATTATAATATTTAAATGTTTTTTTTAATGTTCCTTTATCATTTGTTTTATCGTTCTTTATATTTTTGCACTTTTCATTGTTTTTCATTTCGTTACATTATGTTGTTTTTTGTAGTTTACAGTTCGTTGTTAGCATTAACATCATCAACCTACCCGACTGTCTTGTGTGTCTCCATCAGCATTGTCCCATCAGCCCCGGGGAGCGGCATGGAGTTGTAGCGCACGTTGACCTGACTGCGACGCAGCAACACTTCACGTCCAATCTTTAGTCCCTCGTACAGGACGGCCAATAGGAAGCAACCGATACATGCCCCGACCATCTCTGATTGGACAACAGGTGGACAGGGAGGGTCTCAAAAAAATACTTGTATAAAAGCAACACAATTCTATGTCTGTCGAACCTCTGACCTCCAGGTGAGTTGATGAGCAGTCCAGTGAACAGCAGCTCCACGTTGTGGTAGCCAAAGTAGAAGGTCATCACCTAGTTAACAACAGCAGCGTTAGCATGTTAGCACAATCCTGCTGTGTTGGCATGTTTATACAATGATATCACGGTTAGCATAACGTAGCATGTAATGGTGACATATCCTGCCCCTCACCATCCCCATGTGTCCTCCATGGTTCCCATCATGCCCTCCTCCCCCGTGGTCGTGTCCGCCGGTGGTGGCCGTGGTCATGGCTTGGTGATGGTGGGTATGATCCATGGTGCTGTTAGGAAACAACACAAGTTATTCTCTGCTCCAAGAGAAGGATTTCGAGAACACAAATGTGTGAGTCGGTTTCTCTGGACATGGACTCCCTCCTACCTTGGCTTCGGCTCCTCTTTTACAGTGATGCTGACTCGTCCAGTGAGAGACAGAGACTGAACACCAATGACATCAAAGCAGAGCTGTAACCACGGCTACAGTCCGACATCACTGAGCAGACACCCTGTTGTAATCTGATTGGCTGCCGGACCCTGAGGCTACAAAAGGTCGAAGGAGCCAATCAGAGTGCTCTGTTGTTCTGTCTGCCATCAGCCAATTAGATTACAGAATTGTTAACATTAACAGGAAGGTCGGTCGTCGCCCTCGGCAATTCTTGTTATCCTGTTTTCTGTTGGGACGAGTCAGCATCACTTTGTGAAAAAAACTAATGTGAACTCTATTTTTCAAACAACAGCAGTTGATGTATGAAGTCTTAACAACTCATTTACGCTGCGTCACAAGTTCACAACTCTAACCCGTGTGTCGGAGCTCAGGAGTGTCACTGGGATGAAACTGTGCCTCCTGGTGTCTTAACACAGAAATGACTGAGCTGAAACAGCAGCAACAGCTGTATTTCACAGAAAAACACAAACACAACTTCTATGTTGGAAAAACAAATCTGTCAGTTTACCTGGAGAGGAGACAGCGAGGGCCAATCGAGCACTGAAGAGACTGTCAGGAAGAGAGGGAGGAGAAGAGAGAGAGAGTTAAACGGACAATAAAATAGAGATAAAACAGACCATCTCCAGCCAATCAGCTGCGAGGAGGCTTTCTGGCAGCCAATGAGAAGCTGTGGATTAATCATGTGACCTCACCTGTTCACACCTCCTTGTATACGGTCTATGGTTCACAGTGGTGTTATGTGGTTGTTTAAATATTAATTTAACTTTCAGTAACAACTGACACTAAATGTGAGTGACTGTAGCTGCGATGGTTTAATGTCATGTGACACGGTGACGTTCTGACAAAAAGTCTAACCAGCATCATGTTTGTGTGTTTGTGAATGTCGCAACGTCTTCAGGATCCAGGTTCACTTTAATGACGGCTGACGTCTCACCAGCCAATCAGAGAGCACAACACCTGGACTGACCTCTGACCTTCGAGCCGCAGATCTTTATCTCTGTCACCGATTCACCCTGACCCTCACCCACAGCTGCGGGATCATAGGTCAGACAGGATGTGATGCCTCGTGTCATCCACGTGTCACCTTTAGACGATTTCCTCTTACTTCACATCTTATCTCGTCCACAGCTGATTACATTCATTAATGATTAACGGCTGATTATTGATCAGTTCAACTCACTCACTCTATTTGAAATGACGTTAGCAGTATTATCATTATTATTAAAATCCCTGTTTTTGTTGTTTTTATAATTTCATCACTAAGATAATTGTCACCACACTTCCTGTGGTGACTGTTTGACCTGCTGGTGTGACGCTGCAGGATCATTTGTGATGGACTTGCTGTAGATTGGAAAAATATCTGATTGACAACTGATGGATTGTATTGATGAACATTTCCGTTGCTAGGACACAGATCTGTCACTCAGCTATGATTGTTGAGATGCATCTCGTGTAATCATGTTGATGTTAGCTCCTCCAGCATGTTGACATGTGACGTTCGTCGTGTTTACGCATCATTTACATCCCAGCAGCTTGTTTGTTGACTGTGACGTGTCAAGTTTGTTCGAATCGACGTTAGAGACTTTACGTCCGGACACGAACGAGTGTTTTTTAGACCAAAAGTCGTCAACGTGTCCAGCGGACAGAGGAACACACGGTTAGCACGACGACTCTGCAGCTGTTCTGAATCTGTCACAGGTTCGAACCCTGCGTTACTCTTGCGTCCGCCACAACAATATTCCGCTGATGTTCCAGAGTCTCGTGAGAAACACGCTAGTTACCGAAGGTCACTCACTCACACACGAACTGAGCTCACCCGAAGATTATCCGGGTTTCTTCTTCTTTTCTTTTTCTCCGATTCCCGAAACTCGAAGATGAAGAGTGAGAAAGACAGGAGCCAGAAGAAAAGAAAGAAGAAGAAGAAGAAGAAGAAGAAAGACTTCTACTGCGTCGGCTTCTCCTCCGCCACTTCCGGGGACTGCGTCATGACGTGTGTACAGATCACAGAGGAGGAGCTTCGAGGTCTGAGCCAATCAGCATCAGAGGGTGAGTTTTTATTTTAACGTTAGATGTGATGATAACTCAGCTCATCTTCTAATCTTTCTTTTGTTTTCATGCTTCATCAACATGAACACACCTCGTTACAGTCTGTTCTCTTCATCTGCTTCATGTATTTCCTGTTTCTTCCTTCACACTTATCAAGGTTAAGAACAGAGGATGTTGCGTCTTACACAGAGTGTTAACATCGGGGAATGTGAGTTATGCTAGTTAAGTTTGATTGACACGTCCTGCAGAACGCAGACGGAGCGTCAAGCATCATTCCTTCTGCTCCGTCACATCACTGCATGATTTCTGTTTGAACACTTCTCAGTCAGTCACAGATCAGATTCAACCATCAACATCCATTTTAGTATTTTTTTTTATTATCACTTCACAAACATCAACAGGAAGTCAGAGTTACACACAATGCAACAAAAAAATGTGGAATGGACAAGATTTTCACAATAAAAGCCTTTCCACTTTCTAGCCAATCAGGTTAGAGAGCAGAGGAGCACGCTCACAAAAGACAGCCAATCAGCATCATTAAATATAATATAGAGATTTTTTTTTTTAAACTGACACATGATTGAGTTATTTTCTCACCTGACAAAGATACAGTGAAGAAAAACTTAAGTTAGCTTCAGGAAAGATTTAAAGAAAAACGAAACAAACACATTAATTCTGATATATATATATAAATACTTCGTAAACATCAACACTGTAACACCAACATTTATTTACGATCTCATTTTTGCACACAGAGCAGGAAAACAACTTCTCACCTTAAAAATAAAAGTTTTGATATTTCCCTTGTGTTTAGCAGAATTTAGTTTGAAACAAAAACTAAAACACGCCAACAAAGCTAATTTGCCAACATCCACATATCCCATGTTTGACCCACCCCCCTGGCCTTAACCCCGCCCCTCAGCCAGCCACACGGTAGTTGGCGTGAAACTCCGGCTGAATGTCACAGACGCGTCGCAGCAGCTCTCCCAGCACCGCCTCCCGGTTACCACGGTAACTGGCCTGGATACGGCCCATCCGTTCTAAGGTGTCGCGGTCCACCTCCACAGCACTGTTACCATGGGAACCAAGGGCCTGATTGGGGGGGAAACAGTATTAGATAAATAAGAACATTTTATCAGAACATTAGAAGTTCGTAATGAAAAGTTCGTACGGCAGCTTCTTTGGTCTTAAACTCCTTCTCCCTCTGAAGACGATACTGTTCGATCTCAGCCTGAGCCTCCTCCTTCGCCTGCTTCAGACGCCGGTTCTTACCTGACGAGACAGGAAGTTCAACAAGTGGAATTCACAGACAGGAAGTTAAACAATAAGGACAGAAAAAGTGTGTGTGTGTGTGTGTGTGTGTTCATTCTTCCTCTGAGACTTTATCACCTGATGTTTGACTCATAAGAACCGTCACTGAGAAACTGTTAAAATTAAAATCCAATGTAAACATCTTGTATTTGATGAATACTTGATCATTAATCATTAGTAATTGATCAGTTCTGATCAAGTCTGACAGAACCTGAGGTAAATGTGTATGAACTAGTTTTACAGTCACAACAGAATCTTTACTAATTTCCTCATCATCTCTGTGTCGAGCTGCAGCTCCGGGTCAGGGACCTGGCTGAGCCTTGGAGGCCGCCTGGTTCCGCTTCCTCGGTCGCTGCGTTCCTCCGAGTTTCTGCCGTTATTTTCTCCATCGCTCATTACTAACGGGCATACCGGGGATTTTGCTCGTTAACGGCCGCGAACAGCCGCTGGAACCAGCTAACCAGCTAACAGCTAACGGACCGTGTGTGCACTCACGTTTGCGGGCCTCCGCCACCTTCTCGGCCGCTCTCTTCTCGGCCTGCAGCAGCTGCTGGATCCCCTGAGACTGACTCGCCATGACCGGGACAGGAGTGGCGGACTGCGGAGCTGGAACCGGAGCTGGTACCGGAGGAATTAACCGAGACGAAGGTCGAAGATGAACCGACTTCTACAACCGCAGTCAGCTGACGGGACGTCACGATGCACACTAATCACGTGACGTGGTCACGGGAGAGGGGGTGGGGTGGACGAGGAGTTTATTTCAAACTAACTTTATTAACACCAGAGAGACATTACAGCGGAAGCGAAAACATCAGCACATTCAGTAAAATAATTCTTTTCTACGGACTCTGTGGATCGCCGTCATGACGTGGAGGAGGACAGCAGGGAGCTTTCTTCAGTGAATGAATAACGAACATTAGAACCTTCAGAATGTTTCGCACGTGTCATATTGTTGTTTCACACAGACAATAAAGTTGTGGGAAAAAAAGCTTCTCTAACAGGAAGTGACGCTTCCGGAGCGCTGAGTCAGTTGAACCAGACCGGAAGCAAAATAAGGGATTGGAGCAGGCGCAGCAGCGACCGGAGCTCGTGCTGCTCAGGTACTCTTTGACTAGAATGAAAATCTAAACGTAATTTAAAAAAAAAAATTATTTTAATGTTAAACTGACGTCACACAGGTACTTCACCAGACAGGTGAGCGACGGCACGAGACCTGTCTGCTCAACGCGGAAGTCCAAGAGAGAAGGTAGAGTAAGACCGGAAGTGACTGTCACAAATTTAATTATTATAATAATCTGAATTACTGCAGCATCAACACTGAGTTAATATGGAAACCACAGTGTCCACGTTTATTATTTTTTATGTTGTGATTTGTTTATGTTTATTATTTATTAGTATTAATAATTATTATTATTTATGTCAACAGGAGGTGATGTTTGATTAGTAAACTTAAGAACACTGCTGGATATTAATGAATATTAAATGAAGATGTGTTACCTCAAGCCTGACTGTTTTTTCGTTTTCAGCTTCGTTGTTGTTGTCATGAAGAGGAGTCGGGTGTTGGTGGGGCTAGTGGGCGGAATCTTCTGCGTGGCTTTGATGTCATTGTACCGCATGCTGGACCTGATGCAGGGGGCGGAGCTTCAGCACAGTGTGAACTCACCTGTTTTGCAGGTGGACCAGGTATGAAAACTGGTCACATGACTGCTGTCAAACTGTCTGTTCACGCCCATTAGATAGTGGTCAGTCAACATCTGTTTGATTGGACGGCAGGTGAACTGAAGAATGACCTCACTTAAGGATTCAACTAAAAAGCCAATTAAAACCTCTCTACAGGAATTATCCCACCTCCAACAGAAGATTGACAGGTTGGAGCATCTCCTTAGTGACAACAACCGTCTTGTTGCCACACTAAGGAATTCTCTGATCCACCGCAAAGCATCATGGGAACCAAAGAGAGGAGCAGCCAACGTAAGCTCAGACACTAACCACAGCCAGGCTGACGAGCTTCCTGGCTGCCGATTGGCTGGAAAGATGAAGGACGGAGCTGTTGGCGTTCAGGTTAGCTTAACATGCTAACAGCTGTTTTGTTTTTACAAAAGTACTTTGGTAGAAGTTCTTTACTAAACACAAAACTGAATAACATACACATCTTAACACACACTCCTCATGTCTCCATGTGTAGCTGCTGGATGTTTATGACCTCCTGCCCTTTGATAACCTTGACGGTGGCGCCTGGAAACAGGGTTTTGAAATCCGTTACCATGGAAACGAGTGGGACAAGCAACCACTGGAAATTTTTCTCGTTCCGCACTCACACAACGACCCCGGTGAGAAATTACACCAAAAGCAAACAAACAATCTGTCACAGTCTGTCGATTTAATTACACTTTGTGTGTGTGTGTGCTCTGCAGGTTGGTTAAAGACCTTTGACCTTTATTATCAGGATCAGACAAGACACATCCTCAACAACATGTTGATCAAACTCAGCGAAGACCACAGGTGAGCATCGTCATGACGACAGTCCGTCTGTGTCTGTGTCTTGTTATGAAATAAACAAATAAGCGGATGATTCTCTTGTTCTTCAGGAAGAAGATGATCTGGGCAGAAGTCAGTTTTTTCTCTAAATGGTGGAATGACATCGACGATCAGAAGAGAGAGATGGTGAAACGGTAAATTAATGTTATTTTTATGTTTATTATTTTTTACTGGGACTCAGTTTTGTCTTCGAATATTGATTTTATCATTAATCAGTTTTTTAAAATATTTTGCAGGCTGGTGGGGGCGGGGCAGTTAGAGCTGGTGACCGGCGGCTGGGTGATGGCAGACGAAGCAAATTCTCATTACTTCGCTCTGTTGGATCAGCTGATCGAGGGTCATCAGTGGATTCAGAGACACCTGGGTACGTCCTCTATTTTTACCGTGCTTCACTTATCTGTGACATCACACACTTTCTTTATTCATGCTGTTTCTGCAGGCGTGAAGCCAAGCAGCGGGTGGGCGGTGGATCCATTTGGCCACTCCCCCTCCATGACCTACTTGCTGAAGGGGGCGGGGCTTAGCAACATGGTCATTCAACGAGTTCACTACGCCGTCAAGAAACATTTTGCCCAGCAACAGACGCTTGAGTTTCAATGGCGACAGAGCTGGGGTGAGTGTGGGCGAGAGACACTTGAATGTAGAATACAGTGTGTTGACTACAATGATAAAAACACATTATTCAAATTAATTTATTACATTTATTTGATACATTAAATCAATAATTAATCAAATCAATGTATTAAAATGATTTTATATAAAATGAAAACTTCAGATTATTTTCTCCTTTTTTTAACAAACGTCTTGTTTCTCAAAACCCACCCTCTTCCCAAATCAGACTCCACCCCCCGTAGTGACATCACATGTCACATGATGCCATTCTACAGCTATGACGTACCTCACACGTGTGGTCCGAACCCGTCAGTGTGTTGTCAGTTCGACTTTCACCGCTTGCCAGGAGGGCGGGTCTTCTGTCCATGGAGAATACCACCTAAGCCAATCACAGAGCAGAACATCCAGGAGCGGTAGGAAGGCGTTGAGGTCAACAATAATATTAACATGATTGATCACTGTTACTTCAAATTTTGACGATCAATTGATTCAAGTTTGTAGTTTAGTTTCTTACATTATTATTTTCAGAATTCTCAAGTTTCACAGTGAACTCGTCTAAATTAAAGACACGAAAACAAATGAAAGTGTAAAATGCTTCAGGCTTAAAGGTCCTTTTTTTCTGTGACATGTGAATGTTCTTGTGTGTGACTTTCTCATGTTGACGTCTCTGTTCTCTCAGCGCTCTCCTCTTATTGGATCAGTACCGTCAAAAGTCCCGTCTCTTTCGTTCTCCGGTTCTCCTCGTTCCCCTCGGCGACGACTTTCGGTTTGTGGAGTCAAGCGAATGGGACGCTCAGTTCCATAACTACCAGAAACTCTTTGATTACTTTGATCAGCACCCAAAGCTGCACGTCAAGGTGAGCTCCTGATACACCCGAGGGGCCGGGCAGAGGCTGTGGTGGGTGGATCTTCACATAGTGACATCACAGTGGAATTAGCTGACTGACATCTACACATCACTTTTCCAGCTAGCATCTCTTTATATGTGGTTCTACTCCTGCTCCTTGTTTTCAGGCTCAGTTCGGGACCCTGTCAGATTACTTCCAGGCTCTCCAGCGGCGTCTGAGCACAGCAGGAACGACGCTGCCGACTCTTCGCGGTGATTTCTTCACCTACGCCGACCGTGACGACCATTACTGGAGTGGGTACTTCACCTCCAGGCCCTTTTACAAACATATGGACAGAATGCTGGAGGCCACGCTGAGGTACCATCCACAACACATACAATTTTTTGGGGTTATTTTATTTGTTTGTTTTATTATACATTTTTATTTCTCTTGACAATAAACAGCTTCTCAATGAATTAAAAAAAACTCATATTTTCTGTTAATATTAATTTTATTTATGTTTCACATGTTTTCTGTGTTTTGTTTGTAACTGAATTAATTTGAGTTTATTGTCATTTTAAATGTTTGACTTCTTTAAATCCAACAGAGCGACAGAAATTCTCTTCACGTTGACACTGGCTGAAATGCGACGTTTCAGCGGCAACGGTCGTGTTGTCGCAGATTTTCCGGCTCGCGAACACTTCCAGCGCATGACAGAGGGGAGGCGGAACCTTGCACTGTTCCAGCACCATGACGCCGTAACTGGCACCGCCCGTGACCCTGTAGTGGTTGACTATGGCACCAGGTGGCTACCTCTTGTTAGCACACTAGCATCTTAGCATGTTTGATAATACAGGTTTTTTTTTGATAGTATGAAAATGCTGTGTTTGCATGTTAGCTTAAATCAAATTTTGATAATAAATCAGTATTAGCATCTCAAACTGCTTCATGTTTAGCGTTAGCTTTTCTTTGTCTCATTTATTCCTCCATGCTCTCTATTGAAGGATGGGATCGTCACTGGCAACGGTCTCAGGTACTGTTTTATTTCCAGTGAGCAGTGAGCTTTTAGCATTAGCCTACCATCATACCCATTTATTTAGCATTAGCATCTAACAGTAGTTTACCATCATTCCCATTGTAGTGATAACATCATGTTTTAAAGTCAATAGTTTTTTTTATAAAGTTTTTTTTTTTTTCTTTTCACAGTGCAGAGAAAAAAATCATGAATGAATCGCTCAGAGCGTTTAAAAAAAAAAAAATTATGTAGAATTAAACAAATATTGTCTTTCAGGTTGTTTCGCTCCATCATGAACCTGCGGCAGGTGCTGCAGAGCTCCGCCCACTGGCTGCTCCTATTGGACAAGAGCATTTACCACCACGACCAGTCGAAACCCTTCCTGCAAATGGTAACCTCTGAGTCCATCCACTGTTTTACAGCTTTGTTTGATCTACAGTGTGACGTGTAGTTTGTGTTTGAAGGGTCAGAGTCAGGTCTGTCCAAACATCAGCTGATGTAACAGATGTGTTTGAGAAGAGTCAGAGCTCTGACGTTAATCATGTGATGTTTGCACAGGACGACGTGATCTCAGCTCAGGACGCTCTGCCTCAGAAGACGCCGCTCGTGCTCAGCGATGAGCCCAGGTGAGGGGCCTAACTTCGTTATGTACAGAATCTGTTTTTAAATAAAGTTTAGCTTGAATGTTGTTTCAAAAACCTTCATCTGCATTTCAGGCCGTTGATCATCTTTAACCCGACGGAGCAGCTCCGAACGTCCGTCATCACCATCGTTGTCGATTCTCTGGATGCTCGTGTTGTTAATGCAGAAACAGGTCAACCAATGGCTGCGCAGATCTCTGCCGTGTGGACGGAGCCAAGCCGAGCATCCACAGAGGCGTTCCAGGTGAGAACGACGAGTTGAGTTCATTAATAAACACACTTTGGTCGGTCTTTGTTTCACGTTGTGTTTTGTCGCTTCAGTTTTCTTTCGTGGCTGAACTTCCTCCTCTGTCACTCGTCGTGTATCATGTGAGCAAAGCATCAGCTGGCTCCTCCCACCGGGCAAAGTACATCTTCCATCGTCGTGGCAACACACCGACTGTTCACACCAAACACTTTCAGGTGTCGCACCTCACTGGACCTGATGCCGACGCGCCTCTGTCGCTTAGCAACAAGCATTTACAAATATGGAGTTCCCTGGAGACTGGCCTGTTGCAGGTATGTACATAAATACACACACACACTATGTATATTTATTTTACTGTGGTTTTATTTTAAATAAATATGATTTTGATAGCTGATTTGTTATTGCATTTATTTTTCTATATTTATCAGTGATTATAATCTTTTCCTCGTCTATAACTACATTTTTCTAAATTGTGACCGATATTTTTTTTTAAATGTTTGTTTTATTTTGAAATTCAGAAGCTGCGTCTTCAATCCGGTCTGGTCCGTAAGGTCCAAATTCAGTTCCTGTGGTACGGAACCAGAACTGGAGCGGACAGGAGCGGAGCCTACCTGTTTCTGCCAGGGGAGGAGGGGGCCCAGGTAAGACCAGGACCAGGACTTAGACCAAGACACAATCCAGTTGACTGGTCTGATTGACTGATGTCTCTCGCCCACCTGCAGCTCTACTCGTCCTCAGACCCCCCCCTGGTCCGAGTCTCCAAAGGTCCCATCTTCTCTGACATCACTTCCTGTTACCAACACTTCACACACACAGTGCGGCTCCTCCACCTGGACGGTAACGATATGTTTCTACGTTTCTGTCGTGCTCCGTCAGTGTGTGACATGTGATCCTGTGCTGCGTGTTTAAACTCAGAGTTTGTCAAGTAACATGTTTAAAACATGTTCGTTGACATGTTTGTGTGCAGTGATGTGCAAGTGTACTCTGAGACATCACTGGTTGGCGTTGTCACATGATTGTATAATTGTTAATGTTGTATTTATTTCATTCATTCACTGAATTATATAATTCATCTTAATTAACAGTTAACATTAACCGTTTCACAATAAAATTATTCTGACTTCCTGTTTACAGGGCATGCTGGGAGGTCCCTGGAGATTTCCAACACGGTGGACATCAGGTCAGAGAAGAACCGCGAACTCGTCATGCGGCTTGCCAGTGATGTCGCCAACGGCAACCGTTTCTTTTCCGACCTCAACGGTTTCCAGGTTTCTATCTTTTCATTCGTCCAATCAGATCATTTCATGTCGGTTGGTGTTTACTGATTTCCTGAGTATTGATTGGTCGCAGATGCAGCAGCGGCGGACCTTGGCGAAGCTCCCCCTGCAGGCCAACTTTTATCCAATGAGCTCGTCCTCGTTCCTTCAGGACTCGGCGTCTCGTCTGACGCTGCTGTCGGCGCAGAGTCAGGCCGTCGCATCACTCAGACCAGGTGAAAACAGCTTTCAGTCATTTTGAATTAAACATTTTCAATGTTTCTTTTTTGTTTTCTCTTCATTCATAATAATAAACTTTTCATTCACGATTCAACTCAAACCAAACTATAAAATCATGAAGAATCAAGAATAAATTCTGATTCATTTCCTTGAATCTTTGTTTCAAAGTTTTCTTGTGAGTTCAAACCACTAATGATTCTGATGAAACATAAAAAATTAAAGCATCTTTGTTGAAACATGATAACGATCAGGTGATTAAACACAATCAAGTATCAATATCAGAAATTATATTTTAATCTTCATCCGAAGTGAATCATTGACGTGAACAGTGAATCTTGGGACGTGTTTATAAACTGAGGTAAAAGAAGGCGTCGGCCTTGTTCTGCCACATTGCTGACTCTGACCTGTGACCTCTGACCCGTGCAGGTGAGCTGGAGGTGGTGTTGGACCGGCGGCTGCAGCAGGATGATAACCGCGGCCTCGGTCAGGGTGTCACTGACAACAAGCTGACGGCAAATTTTTTCCAACTGCTGCTGGAGGAGCGGAGGGGCGGGACTCAGGTGAGGGGGTGTGGCCACAGTTTTCAACAGAAAATACTTATTTTAAATTGTCTTTGTAATTTTTACTTATCTTTGTTTTCTGACAGGAAGTGGGAGGAGCCTCAGTCGACCACTTGTCACTGCTCGCCCACCTGACCTCGCTCTCCCTCTGCCACCCACCAGTCACCATGGTCACCCAAAGCAACAGCAAGCTGCCAAAGCTCCGCCCGTTCCGGCCACTCAGCTCATCGCTGCCGTGCGACATTCACCTGCTGAACATGAGGACACTGGAGGACGCTCAGGTGAGGACTGCACCTGGAAACACCTGGAACATCCATTATTGGTTTTCAGAAATAAAACAAGATAAATGTAAAGTCTCGATAACCAATAATGACCAGGAGTAAAAAGTGTTACCACGGTAAATAACAGAGAGATGTTTATATCTGTTTATGGTAAACAGGAAGCAGGGAGCCCTTCACAGGAAGCTGCCCTCCTTCTCCACAGGAAGGGCTTTGACTGTAGTGCCGCCCCCAAGCCAGCGCTTAAGTGCACATGGAGCGTGCACGAGGAGGTACACACACACACACCATTGTCTTCTTGTTGTTTGTCTGAATCGTTAATGTCATTTTTTAAATAAAGTTTTTCTTCCTGTTTAATGAATTTTCAAACAAATGTTTTATCTGTTTTTGTATATTTTTCTGTTTTCAGGTGAATCTGGACGATCTTTTCTCTCCTCTTCAGTTTCGCTCAGTTCGTCATTCAGGTCTGACTCTGCTGCGTGAAGATGACCACGACGAGTCCGCCCGCCAACAGCAGCCGTCGCACACGACTCGTCTGCGGCCAATGGAAATCAGCGCGTTCCGCGTGGAGATCGACTGAAAACTTGAATGAACAAAATGTGAAGGCAAACTCGTGATGTCACAGGTTTTTACAATCGGCAGGAAATAATTCTACAGGTGAAGTTTATATGGGAGATAAATGGTGACAAAATATCTGTCAAAAAAGTAAATTTAAAGTTATTGTAAAATAATTTATTAGACAGTTAAAATGTTTAAGAAAAAGTAGGAAATAATCTTGAACGAAGGTTCCTCTGTTTTTTAAAAACACTACCTAGGAGAAAATATGGATAGGAACAAGAAGACGGACGAAAAATTTAAAGAAAGATACTAAAAGAGTCAAAACACAGTTTTAATAATTTATTCATCAGTTCATAAAAAAGTTTCCTCTAAAAGGATAAACCATTTTCTGACATTTTAAAAACCAAACGTCAAATCAATCTATGACCATTAATCAATCAATATTTATTCATCTGTCAATGACAGAAATCATCACTTTCACTTCAGGACCTTTGTCTTCCGCAAATGAAGCTTAAAATGAGGTCAGTCTAAAGGTCAAAGGTTATTACAAAACTGAGAAACCACTGAAATCTAACCTGTTCGTGTTTCAACAGGTGAAGTTGCTTCGTCAACAAAAGGGACCAATCGATGAATGTTTTTAAATGAATGTGTTTCCATGGTGACTGTCAATCACAGTATGTGTCGTTGCTGCTACTTTTTTAATTCAGTGTCTTTTCTCTGTTTATACATGAATGTGAAATGATGAAATGCGTCCGTTTAAAGTGTGATTGATTTTATTTTATTGATTTTGTCTTCTGATCGGTTGCTCTATTACACTGGAGATTTTTAAATGTGTGCATTTTCCTTTCCAAAATGTGTAAATATATATATATATTACAATTATATACATATTTCCATGTTTAAAAAAAAATTCTATTTATGCTGTAATAGAGACACTTTTGGGAAATTTGGGGAAGTACTTTTTTATCTAAAAAGTTTATATTTTGCTGAAACGTGAAGCTTTAAATCCTAAAATGGTAAAGTTTTGTAAAATGATTGTTTTTTTTACTGTGAATTTTTTTAAATACTTTCATTGATTTTGGGATGATTTTTGTTTTAGATAGAAAAATGAATTATTGTTCGATCTCTGCTGACAATAGTAGTTTATTTTCATACAAAGTCTTTTTGTTGTTTTTTTGGTTCGGTTGTGTTTTTTCATCGTCTCTGAGCGGAGACGGAGAGACGAAGGTCAGAATGAAGGTGGGAGCAGATGTTAGCACATAATATTTTACAAATCAATAAGTCTTGATTAATTCCTTGTGGCAACTTATTTTTAGCATCAAATATTTTCATCCTGATGAAAATGATTTTTATGATTTATGGTATAAAACCTAAAACTGACAATCATCTTCAATCTTAAATCTTTCAAATTTTTGGTGGACACATTTATGGAAATATGTAACTTCAAATAGAATAAAAACGTGAATAAAGTATAATAGAATTTCAATAAGATATAATGAAACAAAGCAGGATTAAAATAAAATAAAGCATATAAAAATGAATAACATAGAATTAAAAACAGAGTAAAATAAGGGTGAAACAGATTTAAATGAAATAAAATGAAACAAAACGATTAAAACAGAATAAAAATAGAATCATTGGGCTCTAAAATACAATTCGTGTTCCTCTGTTTTATTGAACTGTGATGTTCTTTGATGTTCTTTGATGTTAATAAAGAATATAAACATTTGAACCTCACCGGAACAGAACAGGCGTTGATAAATAAGAGCTTTTATTTTGAAGTTGACAGGAAGTGTGACTCCGGTACCGCCTGGCCTCTTGCATTTCGCCGCTCCCCGGTCGGTCAGCTGACCGTCGGCCGGTCTGCTGACTCTGCCCTGATGCTCGAACCGTGACCCGGACATCACCAGGTCGAGCCCGGTCTCCGTGTCCGCGTTACTGGAGCCCCTGACCCGGATTGGCTCCTGACACCCCCGCTGTCAGCCGGAGGCCGGATCGCCGGACTCACCCGAGCCGAGTTTGTCGCACACATCGTCGGACCCGCTGATCGAGCGGCTCCGTTGCTCCAGCTCCCAGGCCGCTGAGCGGGTCGCCTCCCCCCGAGCCTGTGTGACTCCCAGCCGGCCCGCGGCCCCGGTCGGCCCCGCTGAGCACCATGGCCCTGCTGGAGCTCGCCATGCAGGGACTCGCCGTGTTCGGCTTCATCTTGTTCTTCGTCCTGTGGCTCATGCACCTCATGTCCATCATCTACGTGTAAGTCAACGGTCTTTGCGGCTAACAGCTAAGCTAACAGCAGGACTAGCTGTTAGCCAACAATTATCAGATTCGTGTCTTTGTCCCTCTGGTTGTTTCCGTCACGTTCACATCGGTCGCGGTGAAACATGTAAACGGGAGAATCGCGTCTCCTCCGCGGGTCTCTGGATGTGTCACAGCCGTTATAGCTTCCGTGTCTGCTCGGCTAGCTGTTGGGCGTTTTCCTGGTTCACCGCTAGCCTGTTAGCTCTGTCAGTTCATGGCGCTGCCGCCGAGCAGCTTGTGGGAAACTCATGAAATTATAATGTACAATGTTGTAATTTATTGAAGTGTTGTGGCACCGGGACGGTTGAGAAGCATACGCCGCAGAGAGGAGCTTGTTTCTCGGCCCCCTCTCTCTCGCGGCTCGCTGGAGTTAGCTTCAGACATTTCCTGTTTCTTCGTTAGATTGAAACATGTCGTGAATGTAACGGAATCACCGGATGTTGAAGAAAAGTGTGTGTTCATCAGACTGAGGTGAAATCACGTGAACCACGATCTGAATCTGCTCGATGTTTCAAACGTTGACGTCGGATTTGTGCAATAGTTTCTTCTGTTGTGACGAAATTGAAAACGTCATGTTTGTTTCAGTCTAACGTCATTTATGATGGAATGGGAGTTAATTCATTGTGCAACAACACACACACACACACACACTTGACTGGAAACCTGTTCATCCTGGTGACAAACAAACAAACAAACAGCTGCTGATTGGAGGGAAACACTCCTTCAGTTGGTTTGGATCAAAAAATCCTTTCAAAGATCTTTGAATTGTGGTAAATTGTGATTTTAGTTCAGTTGAAACTGAATCAAAACTTCACATGTTCACAAAAAACTGAAAAGATTGGTCAGACTCATTCGGTTTTATTATGATTATCTTCGATGTTTTCAATAATATCCTTATTACTAGCAATGCAACATTTTATGATATTATGATTCTGTCTGTTGATAACAAGAACAGTGAGAGTTAGTTTGACCTACCTCTCTCTCTCTCTCTCTCTCTCTCTCTCTCTCTCTCTCTCTCTCTCTCTCAGGCGTCTCCACCTCCATAAGAAGAGGTCAGAGGTCAAACAGTCATTTGTGCAGCAAACAGGAGTTTCTCTCTTGAAGCCCCTGAAGGGAGTGGACCCAAACCTCATCTCCAACCTGGAGACGTTCTTTACTCTGGATTACCCCAAGGTGACGTTCACCCCCCCCACTCCCTCACCTCTGATAACTAACTAATAACTAATTACCAACCTGCTCTCCAAACCTGGAGACGTTCTTTACTCTGGATTACC